AGTGCATTATACTGCCACAATTTTTGAATCAAGGTACCTAAAATCTGCTAACTTAAAGAATGTGTAAAAATCTGGGACCCATTATTCCTGTGGAATTGAAATTTCCACAATGTTCAGACCAGTTTTATTTGCAAAGTTAATCATCCAGTTGTGTGGGCACTATAGTATACCATGTCTTTGCATGGCAGGAATAAGCTTAATGTACCCCTCACAATTTGGCCTCTTTCCCTTCTCCTCACTTGTCATAGCTACAACAAGAGATTAAAATCCCCTTGCCCATTTTTTTCAACAACAACTTGCCATATCATCTAGGTGTGACAACTCTGATTAATGTTAATTATGGCCTGTTCAAATTGTGTGTAATGAAACTGGCTTGTTCCAACCAAACATTTACTTGCAGTAATTTAAAATAGAAGGAAAAAAATGGTATTTTTCTCTCATAGCTATCCCAGAGAAGGAGAGAAGAGAAGCATATGAGCCCAGGAATAATGTCTTACATCGTAATACACTCTTGTTTCTTGCAACATCCAAAGACAATTTTCTTCTTTTTATCAAATCCAGGTAGTGGGTTTCCTAACTGAACTTTAGTATATAATCCTGCAATTTTTTCTTCCAGGAGTAAACTGTGCACAATAGAACTGTGCAGTGCTTTGGATAAGATGTGGAAAAGGTGCTTTGGAATACACAAGAGCACAAATGCAGCACCTGTCTGTGTATCATTTAAAAATCTATCTTTTTCTGAGATCACATGGCTGCTGTGGAAGCCTGCAGATAAGTCTAATGCTCCCCCATTAAAGGAATTTTGTGCCTTCAAGTCAGTCTTAACTCCTGATGACCACATGGAGTCCCTGCAGTTTTCTTGGCAACATTTTTGGAAATGGTTTTGCCTTCTCCTTCTTCCTAGGGATGATAGAGAATGACTAGATCAAAGTGATCCAGTTGACAAATAGATCCTACATTCACCACTTCTTAGTCAAATCCAAAGCATTTTACATAGCCTTAGCAAGCATCATTGAATATGTTGCGGTAAACATATTGCAGAATTGCTAAGATCCCTTTTTGTATTTTTAAAATGTTAATTACTATTTTAGCTGGTTTAATAATGATATTGTTTAAAATGTTATTTTTTTTTGTAAGCAGCTTTTTGGAATAAGTATATGATTGGAGAACAAATAACAAACTGTGATATGCCATGCTTTTTTTCAATATAAAACTTTATTTTTGCTTAGCTGCAAGATAATGGACAAGAAATGGCAGCTTCTCCTTCCACAGCCACAACAGGGAAATCAAAGGTAATTTACAATTACAATTGTAAATAATTGTATACAAATGTTCTACAAACATTTTTGTAGAAATAAAATAATGCCTCTATTGAGTGGCATCTTTGTAATCATAGAGTTGGAAGTCACTATCAGGGTCATACAGATCAGTGTTTCTCAACTTCATTAACTTTAAGATATATGGACTTGCTGGCTGAGGAATTCTGATAGATGATAACTCATCTTAAAGTTGCTGGGGTTGAGAAACACTGATCTACAGTACTACCTCCACCCTCCACTCTGTGCAGGATTCAATGGAGCATCTCTAACAGGTGACTACCTAGCCTCTGTTTAAAGACCTCTAATGAAGGAGAACTCACCATTTCATATCACAGCCTGTTTCACTGGCTGATAGCTTTATACAGTCTGGAAATTTGTCCTGATGTCTAGTCTGAATCTGCTTCTTTTTAGTTTTAACCAGTTGGACCTGACCTCTGGGGCAGTTGATAATAAATTCGCTCTCTCTTCCATGTGACAAGCCTTCAGACTTTTTAAAACTGCTATCTTATCTCCTATTAGTTGTTTCTTCTGTAAGCTAAACATACCCAGATCCTTTAACCATTCTTCATACACTTGATTAACATACCCTACCATCTTGGTGGTAGTCCTCTCAATCTACTCTGATTTGTCACTCTTTCCTTTCCTTTCCTTTCCTTTCCTTTCCTTTCCTTTCCTTTCCTTTCCTTTCCTTTCCTTTCCTTTCTCTCTTTCCGCTTTCCTCTTTCCTCTTTCCTCTTTCCTCTTTCTCTTTTTGTAACAGTGGTGCCCAGAATGGGATACAGTGCTCCAAGAGCTCTGATTTAATAAAATGGTTCATTTTCAAATGTCAGTGTTGACTTTGCTTTAAATGTAAAAGGAAAGTCATTGCAGTTATTAACAAGTTTATTTGGCAAGTAAATATGGTTATATTTTTTACTGGAAACAGATGTTCCAATCATACCCTGAAAAGTAATTGAAATTCTGTTTGTTTTTTAAATTTTCTTATGGGTCTTTCATGCAATAATCTCATTAAAATAAAATATAGCTTTTACAATGCTCAGGTATTCCATCTAAACTTCCTTCTGTGTGTAATCAGTTTGGCAGGTAAAAGAGTTATAAATGTCTGAAGACATTTGTGTGTATTTTTTTTCCTTCTTCTTTTTTTACATCTTAACCTTCTTTGCAATAACGTGAAAACCTGATGAAAATTCAGTTAGAAATCAGTGTTATCCATTTATTCAGGTAGTATATTATTCTTCAGTCTGTGAGACCAAGATCTGGATTTATGAGAAATGGTTGGATTGAAGGGTCTTTCTTTCTGATGAGAAATCTTGTTGTTGCAACTTTTAGCATCCCTCATTATTTTCTGTGGTAGTTCAGTAATGACTTGGAGGCTGAAGGTTTCATGTCACTGGACTAGTAGAGCAATGATTATGAAGTTCTTCAAGCTATATAGTCTGACTTTTTAACTAATTAATGTGGCTATTTATATTTTTAACTGTTTTTGGGCTTTACTTTAATTGTGAGCCGCCCAGAGTCACCCTCCAGGGGAGATGGGCACCATACAAATTTAATAAATAAATAAGTAAGTAAGTAAAATATCTTGCTTTAGTTAATTGGCCAAAATAATATTTTGAAACATTACAGTGGAGGAATATGCAGGTCTATTGTAATTATTAAGACTTAAATCCTTTAAGTATTACTTTTCTGAAAGGCTGATCTCATCTTGCAGGTCTACTGGGACTAAATGTGTTTTACATTGATATTAAACCAAAATGTTTGCATTGTGCATTGCAATGCTTTCTTATGAGTCCTGAAGTAGATAGCCATGTGCAGTAAAAGTATTGGTTGAAGAGCAGAACCAAATCTCATGTTCTGCATGGTTATCTATATGATTAAATTAAATTTGAGCATGCATGCATTCTAATTTGCATTTATGGATTTTACAGCTGGACACATTACCCAAAGAAGATCTTATCAAATTTGCAAAGAAGCAAATGATACTTTTCCAGAAAGTGAAATCCAGATGCGCAGGTATCTTTACTGAAAATTATATAGATTTATTTAAAAGCCATATAGCAGGATACTGTGGAGAAAATCAGCCAATCCTTCCTCTACGCTCCCCATAATTTGCATTAGCATCCAGGATATGAAGCAATCTGGAAGAACTATGTACAGTATATTGGTCTAACTTGGACATGTTCCTACTAATAATGCTGAACTCTGCTGGTTGTATAGATTGTATTTTGGCATTGTGGAAAAATAAGATACAAATATAACAAGACATTGATTCAAATTCAAATAATAATTTTTCCCTAGAACTGGAAAAGGAAATTGAGCAACTAAAAACAACATCTGTGGCTGGAGGAACTGATGATATTATTCAGGTATGAATCCAAATTAATGCATAACATATGGTGCAATGGTATTTAATTCCCAAGAAATTCATTGTTTGGTCCAGTGGGAATGATAATTCCTAGGGTCATATAGCTCACACTACTTTTTATGCCTAGAGATAAAATACAGGCTGTTGGTTGATTATCAATATCCTTTAAACTGAATTTCTCTTAATATGGACTGTGTTTTAGCTTCTGCTGTGCTCTTTGCCTTAGAATTGAATATTATACTGTTTACGATAGCCTAATGTCTGTTGTAAAAATGTATTCTTTTTAAAAAACTAAAGTTGAAAAAGTGGAAGCAGTTGTTAAGTTTAATTACTCAACTCACCATACAACTAGTAAGAAGGTGTTACCTATTCTAAGATATAATGGAAACTTTCAGATGGAATACTATATTGCAACTTAATACTATATGCAGAAACCTGGGCTTATGCCCACCTTCCTCTCCCCTCCATAGTGTAGCTACAAGGAGCTGTTTTCCATTTTCCTTCAACCTCAGTTCAGGTTTGCATTCAAACTCTAAAATGAAAAAGATTTACTAAAACATGGTTTAATTAACTATGGTTTCCTTGGCTCATATGAACCACAGTTTAAGGCTCAGGTAGGATTAAATTTGCACTAATTGAAAAACAGAAGTGAAACCTTCTACTGTAGTCTCCTCCTAACAAGGCTAACCATAAAAATATAAGTACCTTTATCATTCCCTTCTTGATTTTTCCTCTTCTCTCCTAACTTACTGTGATAGAGTAGGTATGAAGTTTATTGATGCATTGGGAAATAAACAGAAAGCTTGCTTAGTATTTTGGGAGTAATGATGAGTATCTTCTATAACCAACGTTGCCCGTAGGATGTGTACTCATACATTGTGTTTTTGCTAGTTTTCTCACTTTAATGGCAATGACAGAGTTGTTCTCCTTCCCCAGTTAAGGTGTCATTTATTTATGAAGAATGTCTGCAGATGAATTTCATTGAAATACCATTACTGTAATTAACATTGAAACAAATATTTCTGAATGGCTTTCATGTAATCAGAACATGACAATCAAATCATGATACTGAATCAATCTCTTCCCACTCCCACAAATCTCAAACTTCTGGATATGATGCTGAAACGAGAAATAACTCCAGGAGATGAGAGTGGTTATAGTATTTTTACTGGTAAAGAAAACAGAGAATTTAAGGAAAATGCTACATATCTTTTAATAAATAAAGTTATCTCTATGTTTTTGGAAGATAATGGATAACTTTTTTCTCTCTTCTCAAAATTAGGCTCTTACAGAGAAGCTGGATGTGATTCTTCTGGAAAAAGCAGAAGCCCAGCAGCAGTGTGTAGCTCTGAAAAAAGAAAATGTGAAAAAGCAGCAAGAAGCAGAGGTATTCCATAAGAATAGTTTATGGAAAATCTTTGACCTAATTCTAGTTTGTTCAGTAGATTTGTGTCACAGAAAGCCCTTTCATTTAAGCTTTTTGGCTCCTAATTGTGGTTCACATGAGCTGCCCATTTCTCTCCTGCAAACAGGCAAGTGCAGATGTTAGGAATGAACCCACAGGAATGTGGTGTTCAGGAAAGTCATCCTATAGGAACTGCATCTATTTCAGATGGTTATTCTAGTCCTGAAAACAGAAGTGTGGGTCAACAGTGTGCCATAGTAAGATTTGCAAATTCTTAGCGTTTGGTAAAAAAAACAAAAACTTTTTTTAATGAGAGAGAGAAAAGGCAAAAGTAATTTAATGCACAGATATACGTGCACTAATGCACAGATATACGTGAGGGTGCAATTATTGTATTCTACAGATGGGGCATTCAGACATTATAGAAATATAATATATCAATATAGAGGTATATTCAATTCTAAATTTGTATTATTCTTATCCATTTGTCAATCACTGTTTTCTGATCTTTCCATTTTGGAAAAATCTGTGAAATATCTTGTCTTCAAAAATAATGTAGAATCTGATCTGATATTCAGTTCAGTTACAAATATTATTAAAGAAATAGCAGCTACCATTAGACATAAAGCCTATTGCTACATAGATTTCATATTAAACTTGTACAGTGAGATGGGCAGCATATATACATTTGAAAATAAATTAAAAAATAAATGTTCAGTTTTATAAACAGGATAAATTGGAAAGGAACTAAGTCAATTAAGTTTACATTATTTAAGAACTCTGTATTATATTACTATGTGTTATTTAGAAATCCTATCTTGTTAGATGAAATGTACATTTTTCCATTATCAGAAAGTTCACTGTTCTCAGTTGGGATGACGGTAGATATTGGTAATAGTAGCTGTGCAGATTGCACATATATATTTCTTTTAAATTTTTCTATATCCCTTGATTTTTCTGTGAAATGGACCTGGAGAGGGTATCCCTTGATTATTAGTTTTGTACATTGGGTGTGGAGAGAATGGGTTATTGAATAGATTGCATCTTGCTCTGTAATTGTTATTAAATTAGTGAAAAGTTTAAAAAGCTTTAAAAATATATCTATTACAGGTGCTTTTATGCTGCTCCAATTACGTATTTGATTTTTTTTTTTTTAATTAGGATGCTCTTGCTCAGGAAGAAATACTGCAGAAGAAGTTTGCACAATTGAATACCACGTATCAGAAAGAAATTGAAAGTCTTAAAAATGAAGCGTTAATAGCACAGTCCAAATATGATGAAACTATAGCCACATTGCAAAAGGAGCTACATACAGAAATGAAAAAACAAGAAAAGCTCACAGAACAACTTAATTGCCAAACTAATGGGCATGAAGAAGTTAGAAGACTACAGGAAGAGGTCCAGCAGACAAAGACCTTTTACGAAGAGCAGATCTTGAATCTAAGGAAACAGTTAGAATTTTCCAATGAATCTAAAGAGGAGGAAATTACCAAACTGCAAAATATTATTGAAAGTCATTCTCTGCATTATCAAAACAAAATTGATAACTTAGGTGAAGAGCTAGACAAATTGAAGGCTTCTCACCAAGATGAGAGATCAGAGCTACTACATCAGCTTGAAGCCTCTGCTAAATTATGTGAAGAGGAACGAATTAAAGTAGATAAGCTAAAGCTGGACTTGATAGAACAATACAAAGTAAAAGAGAAAGACATGCAGGATGAATTGCATGCTTGTAAGGAGAAATATGAACAGGAACTGAAATACATAAGGCAGACCTTGACTAAAGATGAAGAAAAACAAAATAAGACTAGAAATGCTCAGATAGAAACAGAAATAGCAGAAAAGACTGGGCATATAGAGAAAGCTTTCAAAGAACTGGAATCTCAACATAGTATATTAAGAGATGAATTAACTTATATGAACAATGTTAAAATGAAACTGGAAATGGAAGTCCAGCACATAAAAGATGAGTATTTTCATGAAAGGGAAGATTTGGAATTCAAAATTAATGAACTGCAACTTGCCAAAGAAGATCATTGTTGTGTAATTGAAAAACTGAAATCAGAGTTCCAGTTGGCAAAAGAACAATATGAAAAAAAGATAAAAGAGAATAGCCTAGAAATTGAAGGGTTAGTAGAAAGACATAAAAAAGAAATACGTGAACTGAATCAAGCTATAACATCAAGTGCAGAGGAAAAAAATCAGTCACTTCTTCTTAAAATACAGGATCTCGAAGAACAGTGCGAGAGACATATAGAGGAGAAAGAAGAAGCTGTTGCTAGTTATGAGAACTTGCGAGAAACACTAGAAACTTTGCAGACTGAATTGGGAGAATCAGCTGGGAAGATAAGCCGGGAATTTGAATGTATGAAGCAACAGCAGGCTTCTGATGTTGACGAACTACAGAAAAAGCTCCGAGCTGCTTTCAATGAAAAGGATGTCCTCCGAGAAGAAGTCAGTTTTCTCCGGCAAGAGGTAGAACAGCTGTCCTCCCAAAACAAGGACGTAGAAGGGCTCAGGCATAAAATAGGGACACTTCAAGAAGAGAATGAGAAACTGGCTTGTTGCCTTCATCAAAGGGAGTCTGACATTAAAAAAATGGAAGAGAAAGAAAATGAACTTTCCTCACAGAATAGTAGCTTCCTTGATGAAATGAAAGGTTCCGCTGAGAAAATAGAAAACCTCCAAGAAAGATGCAAAGCACAACAAGGGATGGTAATGGAACTGCAGCAACAGGTTGAAGTTCTTAGCAAATGCAACCATCAATTAGAGCAGCAGGCAGAAGGGCTAGGGGAGAGACTGAAAGGTGTTTCTGCAGAAAAAGAAACAAACCAGGAGAAGCTAATCAAATTTGAACAACAAATGGAAGCCTTTGAACAAGATAGAACACGGCTGTTATCTGAAATAGAGACTCTTAAAAGTGAAAACAACAAATTGAAGGAAGAACAAGATCAAGCAAGGAAGGAGCTAGACCGCATGTCATCTGAAAAAGGAGACTGGAATCTATCCAAAGATAAAGCAGAGAGCTTAGAAGTGAAACTGCAAATGGCCTGTGAAGAAAAAAGCCATTTGATTAAACTACTTGAAAAAGAAAAGGCCTTTAAATCTCTTGTTGTTAGTCATCTGCAGGGCCTCCTTGGAAAGATGGGGTCCGAGTACCCAGATGAAAACAAAGAAGAAGATATTGTTGGCACATTGCAAGCTGCAAATGAATTTTTAGCAAAAATGAAGCAAGAGGAACAAACTCTGATCTCACAGAAAGATGAAAATGTTCATCTGCGGCAGGAATTGCAGAGGGTCCAAGAAGAAAGTGCAGCCTGTTGTACAGAGCTCAGATCTCTATTGGATGATTATGAAAAAGAAAAATGTCTCTTAAGGGAGGAATTAGAAGGGACTTTCTCAGAAAAAGAAGTACTTCAGCTTGATATTCAGGAGTTGAAACATACCAGTGAGAAAATCAGGAAGGAGAACCAAGATCTTCTAGCTCATATTGAAAATATTTCTGAGCAACTCGCAAATCAAGAAAGCAAAATGAAAGAACAGGAAGAAAAATCAGAAGAACAGAAAAATCTAACCTTAATTCTGGACCAAAAAGAGACTGAACTGAGAAATGTACAAGCTGAACTTTCTTTGCTAAAGGTTAGGTTTTTATTATTGAACTCTTCAGATTCATTCCCCAAGACTTAAGTTGGAAATATTTGGGGAAGTATATGTGAGCAAATTTCTCTCTTCATCTGCTGCTCCTGTTTATAAGAGAGTATGTGCGAAGATGTACCTTTGTTTGAACTCTCATTGGTTCTTTTTCATCTCAGTAGACACAATTATGTATGAAAGGAGAATCTGTCTTAATTCCAAAATGGATAAATGTAGGATTGAAATGAATTTATGTATGTGTATGTATGGTCACATGAAAAAATAAGTATTATCAAATTCAAAATAACCATTTAACCAAACATGGGTTAGGGAGTGGCTTGTAGTTTAGCCTTCTTCCAGGAGTCAGAGAGGTTTTTTAATAATAAAACATTAATGGTGTTTTGAATGATGAAAGATTAACCTTTCTCTTACATCAATTCAAAAGATGTCTTTTTCTCCTTAGTTTTCAGAGGTGGATATCAAGCTTGATTTTCATGAATATCAGTTAATAACTTTAAAAGTTTCTTTGTCATTGGCTGATCCAAAATACAGGTAGTCCTCATTTAGTAACCACAATTGGGGCCAGCAAGTTGGTTGTTAAGTGAAGTGGTCACTAAGTGAAACCACAATTGTGCTTATGATCTTATTTCAGCTTTCCTTTGCTTTACAGACCTGCAAGGTTGCTTGCAAAGTTACTTTTTCATCACTGTTGTAACTGCGAATGATTGCTTAAACAAGGACTACCTGTAAATTTGTCATAGTGCCATTGTAGGAATGGCCTTCAGTAATCAGCAGTGCTGATGTTGTAATTTAATAATGCCCAAATGATAATGTCTGCATTTATGTGGAAGCCTTTCATGCTGTATAAATCATTCTGCTGGGTTTTCTTTATTGTACAGGTAGTCCTCAACTTAGGACCATAATAAGGACCAGAAAATTCATTATTAAGTGGTCCAGTCATTAAGTGAGGTATCACATGACCACATCAGATTGTACAGCCTTTTTTGCCATGGTCATTAAGCAAATCACCACAGTCGTTAAGCAAGATATAATGTGACCTCAATGTGACTTTCCCTGCTGGCTTCTCCATTGACTTTGCTTGTCAGAAGCTGGCTGGGAATGTCGCAAATGACAATCACGTGACCACAGGATGCTGCAACTGTCATAACTGCGCAACAGTTGCCAAGTGTCCAAATCATGATCATGTGACTGTGGGGATGCTGCAATGGTCATAAGTGCAAGGACTGATCATAAGCCACTTTTTTCAACACTGTCATAACTTTGAACGGTCACTAAACAAATGATCATAAGTCGAGGACTACTAGAAACAAATTTTCCAGTCTGACCATTTTATGTCAAGATCATGATGGGATGCTCTGTGTCTAGAACTTGTCTCCTTCCCCTCACCAAGCAGCAGCAGTCATCTGCTAAACTGCCCATCTGATTTATTTTTGTTTACGTTGCAGGGGTCTGTGGAGAAGTCTTCTGCTGATGGTGATAAGCAGTTACCAGAAACACAGAAAATAGGTAATTCATATACATTTTGATAGTAGATTTCTTAAAAAAAAAAAAAGACCTATATAATGTTTTGTTGGGGGGGGTTCATTTTTGAATGTTGATACTGCTATAAAGAGGTTGTACAGAAATTGTTAAATGCTTTTCTAGAATTTGTTATATGGAATAATGCCCCACCAGTCTCTGCTTTACTGCTGTTTCTTTATGGCTGAATATTAGTGTAATCTTTAGAGCAGTGTTTCTCAACCTTAGCAACTATGTGGACTTCAACTCCCAGAATTCCCTATCCAGCCATGCTGGCTGGGGAATTCTGGGAGTTGAAGTCCACATATCTTAAAGTTGCCAAGGTTGAGAAACACTACTTGAGACGCATGAATGCAGTGTCTGCTAAGGAAGAAATTTTGCATCTGCCTTAAATTATAGGCTTCTGGTTTTAGTTTTAGTATAATGCTCTTAAGAGTAAATATGGTGCTTAATTGACAAAACTCATGCAGAAGATAATTTAAATAACAGGCTTTCAGGCAAATAATGAAAATTACAGCTTCCCTTTTAAAAAAAAGTTTGGAGTTTGTGGGTTTATATATATGAGAGATTGGGGTAAAGTAGGAAGTGATGGCTTCCTTAATCTATTTCAATTTCATGACTCCGAAAAATAAATAATGAATATAACATTTACTGCACATTTAATATACATTATCCAGTTCTTGTTGAATTTGGTGGTGCTAAATAAGTGTCGAACATTAGGCCATTTCAAACTGAAGTCCATTGAAATGGTTAGTAAATATAGAATACAATTTAAATGGCAGTTGATATGAAATGAATCCTCTCTAATACAGTTGTTATTAACTATAGAAAAATGTTTTGCTTTTACATTTTAAAGCATTCTTTTGGTTTGCTTTAGTGAATTTGGAAAAACAGCTGAAAGAGAAAGAAGAAAAAATAAATAAAATTAAAGCTGTTGCTGTGAAATTGAGGAAAGAACTGGATTCTAGCAAGAAAGAGGTAACTTGAATCAAAGGAAACCTATGCATTTTCATTTATGTTGAGGTATTGGTAATGTTATCCTGGCACCATATGAAGTTTCTAAGGTCTGCTTTTGATTTATTCTATTGTTTTTAAAGAGTTGAATTTGTCAGCTTATCTGAATATCTGGCTTTAGTTTCTTTGATCACTAAAAGCTATTTTGCATATATTGTTCCTTAATTTGCATACATCATTTTAATTACATAAACATATTTATGCATGTGGAGTTGGTAGCAGGTTTTTGGTTTATTTTGCAGTAAGCATGCAGCGTCAGTAGTCTGCGGGTTCAATAGAATTTGTTGGAGGTATATTTTATCAATTCCTTATTCTGTTTGAACTGGCTTCTTAAATGCATCTTAGGGACAACTTGAGAAATTTTCTTTTTAACTTCTAAAAGAATCAATTACTTACTCTGTATTTGCTTCAAGGATGTTTTTTTCTATTCCTGTGTGCAACTGTTAAAAGCTACAAAGAGTACTTTGTGTTAACTATGTTATTGACGTAACACACTTAGATATCAAGTTTAATCACAGGAACTGTTTCTTAATCATACAAACACTACTATGGATTTTCCACTTAAAGATTTTCCTGTGGAAAGAGCTAGACCAGTGTTTCTCAACCTTGGGAACTTTAAGATGTGTGGACTTCAACTCCCAGAATTCCCCAGCCAGCATGGC